GGCAGATTAGTTGTGTTCAAACCACAAAATCCACCGTGTTGGGGAGGGGTTTTGGTGGAGTTAAAGTTCTCTTTTTTTAAAGGGGCAAGGGTTTGGACAACACTGCTCTAAGATGATTAAGAGTGACCCAATAAAAAGCAGTGGCCCACCTGATATTGTATTGAGAATATCACAAACTCTGACACAGACAAACTCTTCACACAAACTCTGACACAGCATGAGATTTCATTTGGGGGGGGGGATGGTTAGATGGCACGGATGACCTTGGTGCACAACTGTAGAAATACTGTATGTGCACCTTTTGTATTTTTAATGGATTGGTCTTTCTAAGCTTGTGATATAGTAAGTGAAGTCAGCCGTGAGATAACTTTAAAATTAATGACACATTCTTGTCACAGTTGTGTTTTATGAATATGAGTAATGCACAATACTCGTGTTTCATCATGATTTACTCAGTATGTCATGCAATCCCATCTGCACTGTTGTTATTGAGCAACAGTATATTCGCAACGAGTTTGGCTCCGTTTCTACTAATCTTGTGCATATAATATTTGGGTATGTGTGTCCACATTTTTTTCTTCGGTCGTTTGTAATTGTTCATTTGTAACCCCCTTAGCATGCTAACCTGTTTTTCCAAGTAATTTATGTCCCTTTTTTAATAGAGATAGTCCTGGCTTAATGACCATTTAACGACAGTTCATTATTATGACAGCTTCGGAAAGGGTGCTTTATGGCCCGTAAAGCACTTCCGGCCTTTGTAAAACATCTCCCCCGGTCACATGACCTCATTTCAGGTGCTTGGCAACTGGTTCGCATTTACAACCGGTTGCCAAGTGTCCTGTGATCATGTGATCCCCGTTGGAAGCCAGCAGAGGTGGTTGCAAATGGAGGGGATGTGGCGGTGGGCAGTTTTGGGGTTCAGATCTTCAGGATTTGAGGTTCCTGCCTTTGCACCGCTGCGAGGTTTCCTCTCCTCCTTCAGCGGTGCAAAGGCAGGGACCTGAGAGGGAGGGGAAAGAGGATGGAATGAAAGAGCTGTTTGCTGAACTCCTTCAGCGGACAGCTCTTTCACTCTGTCCGCTTAACGACCAGGGAGATCACTTAACTGCAACCAGGAGTGCCCAGATTGCAGTTACTGAGTGAAGCACTCACATGGGCTTCTCGCTTAATGACCACTTTACTCAATGACTGAATTTCTGATCAGAAGTGGTTTGTGCTGTGTCATGCTATCACACCCTACAGGTGTGTGCTCTGGGCGGGTTGTGGGGATTGCAAACACAGTCAAGCTGTGCTCTGTCCTTATTCTCATTGAGAAATTTTTTACTCCAGGGTAATACCCTGACATTTCTGATCCCAATTGTGGTTGTTAGGCAAGGACTACCTATAGTCTAGAAGAATTTCTACTCCCTGGTATATATTGCGAGATGGATTTCACGTGCTTCACTTAGACAGATCCAAGGATGACGGGCCAAATAAGGTTGTTAGATATCCCGTGCCTCCCTTGTATCTTTCTTTTTCTTCTTTTCATTTAACCCTCCACTCCATTTATTCCTCAAATTATCTTCTGCTGGATTAACTTTGGGTTATGACTGCCGAATTTCTGTTTGTATACATCTTCTTGGCTGCCTCCTTCATTGTGAATGCTCTCCACCTCTTGAGATGTCCTCACCTCAGTCCTTTCATGAGATTACCCAACTTCTGAAAATGTATTCCACTAAACTTGATTTTTATTTTGGTCCTTGTCAGTCTAAACAGGTAGCAGCACCTGGCCATTTCTGGCCTCAGAAGCTAAGCAGAGTCAGGACTGGTTAGTATTTTAGTGGGAAATCTCCCAGAAATAACTAGATGGTTAGGCTACATTTAGAAGCTGCAGAAACACCCTGGAAGGAGGCAAGGCAAACCACTTCTGTACTGTTGCCAAGGAAAATATCTGCATGTTTTCTTTAAGTCCCTAGGAATTGAGCGTGACTGAAAGGAGATTGTACCTTTTAGACCCTGGAAAAGTGAGAGACTTTCCACATTGCCTATGACTTAAAAGCAGGATACATTTTTGTGAAAGGAGAGGTGGAGTTATACAATTAGCTCATCATCTTCTGGAAGCTTCAAGAGAGACAGTGCCTACGATCAGTTGTAACTGCTGTATTATTATTTGAATGTATATCCTGCTGTTCAGCCCACAAGGGACTTACAATGCATTCTTAAAACATGACAAAGACCCAAGTTAATTAATAAGCAGCTTTATTTAAATAGAATAGCTTTATCCAAGAAGCCATAAAACAGCACAACAAAAGAAAATATAAATTAGAGAGAAGTAAATTAGGGAAGACTTTGTAGCAATCCCCTTCCTTCTAACTTCTGAAATGGAAGACAAGGGTCTAAGGAAAGCTTTCCCTCAATGATGAGACAGCATAGACAACCACACACACAGCTGCATCAGTTGAAGACTGGCAGGAGCAAGTGGAGAGGTTCACACAATCTGTTTTCTCCAACTCTTGCCATGGTGGCAGCAGCAAGCCAGAGACCCAGAAGCATCTTGCCTTACCTCCTCAATCGCCCAAAATATTCCTTCTCCCCTCCTGCTTGACTTTAAGCTTACAGGATAGGGTTCTCTTCTCCCTGTTCTTTTCAGAAGACACCCCACTTCCCAACTCCAAAGTTTTTCTCTGGCACACCAGTTCCAGCCTGCAAAAATCTTGACCACCGCTAGTTAAGCTGTGCATGTGACAAGCTGACTTGGGAGTGGAAAGTGGAGCAGCAGCAACACCAGCGGCTCCGTTACAACACAACTGAGAAAGGTCCAGGCTAAGAAAGGCTGCAGAATTTGAATGGAAAAATAACCGCTTATGCAGACTTTATTACTGCTTGCATTTCTCAGTTATGGCTCAATTCTATCAAAATCTCTTACTGGTTAAACACTTCCTGTAAATCAAAATATGAAACCATGGATTGATGTGAGTTTGCACACAGTGTTTAAAATAATGCATCTACACTATACAGGTTGTGGTAAAAGTGATTTCCCTGCCTTTCCAACCTCCATGCTTTGCAACAGGACAAACTGTTTTTGTACCTCTAGCAAGGGGCTAAGTTTGATGATTAAACCAGAGTTTAATTTGGCATTTTGGGGTTTTTATCAGAATCGAGAGAAACCCCCCCCCCCACATTTAGTGAGGGAGGACATTATGTCTGTGCTGAAGTAACATTAAAAAATGAAAACCTAAAATGAATAGAAGCTGCTTCAGTGGTAGTCATGATTATTACAGTACTTAGCATTTGTCCTCTGGAGGGAAAAAAATCTCTTTCTCCTGGGCAAAGAGAAATATAGTTATGGTTACTCTTCGTATAATTGAAATAAAAGCAAGGCTTTTATCTACCTAGGCAAAACTGTGTGTGTGTGTATTTATTTCCCAGGAGATACAAAAAACCTCTCTCATTCCAGGCCTGTATTTTGTGTGCGTGTATGTGTGTGCGTGTGTATATATATGGAAAGAATATTGATTTGTGCAAACCCAAACGCATGGCGTTATTGTTAATATTCAACGTAAGTAGCTGGGAGCTTGCCTTCATTCCAAGCACTCACAGTGCTACAAGGTGTGGCAAACATTTCAAAGTGATCTAACTGGAAACCTATCCAATGGTTGCCACTTGGTAAAATTATGCTGACAAGGCAGGAGTTGCTTAGCCCAAAGCTTCAGATTAGTGGAACCTCCTAAGCTTTCTGACCTAGCACTGCTCTGGCCTTGGATCATTTTGTTGCATTTCTGCACCATCTGCACTTGGGCTCTTCTGTCACTCCCAAAAGCAGAATTACCCACCTTCAGAGGCTCACTGTAACTCTGTGTGAGTCGCGTCCTACGCTTGCCTCCCTCCTATCAGGAATCATACCTGAATAGAGTATCTTCTGGAGAGAGACAGTTCCTTCTGAGAAAAAAAAAAACAACTTTGAAATATAATGGTTTTCAAAAGGGATGGGGGGGGGGCGGAATAACATGGCTGTGGTTTGCCAGAACCACATTATTTATTTGTCACTGCTTACCATTCCAACCATTTTCAACAATCAACGTAAACAATCAAATGCTTTCAGAGCAGTGCAGTTTTAAACAATGAAACATACAGCTGCAAATACACAGATGCTTCAGAAAATCATTGTTAGCCCTTTTGTGTAGCCTTATTTCTATCTTTGGAGACAGGAATAAAAAGACCCCATAAATCACAACTGCTCAGAGCATTTACTTTCCAAAGTGTACTCTAACCGTTAAGTCTTACACACTTCTCTTGAACATAAAAGAATCTTAAATTAACAGTGTGTGCCTGGACATGATTTGGGAGTGCAATCAGTATGGTATTTATACTTAGTCTTTCTTTCTCTCTCTCACACACAAAATCAAGCGTGAGCCAGGCTGTTTTTAACTGCAAGTGGGGGATGCATGTCCCTATGATTTCTTCCCTCACTTCTTGCAATCAGGATCACAATATTGGGTCTGAGCAAACTGTGCAGTTCAAACATTAAGCAAAGAATTCAAGACTAGCTCGTATCAGCCTGTATCACGTAGACTGGACTTGCTGAAGAAATTAGCATTTAAAGACATCCTTGAATCAAGCTTGACTCCTGGTGATTATATCCATGAAGTTACCTTAGCAGAATTACAGAAGTGGCTTTTCACTGTCTTCTTCCAGGATGTTCTTTTTTAAGCTTTCCAATGTTCCAAGAGCCCTGGAATTCTCAGGTGGTTCTCCATCCAAATACTAACCAGGCCTGAGCCTGCTTAGCTTCCCAAATCAGCCACATTCAGTTACGTATACATTTGTAAATGTGAAGAATATCAAAATATAGTCTCACTCTAGAGAGGTCAAGTTCCCATAAACTGCATATAAATATAACTCCTTTTTAAAAACCTGGACTTCGTAATTCTCATTTCACACAAAGCTGTTTGCCAGCTGCAGGTGTCTTGACATTCTTTGACAGGAAGGTAATAACATATATATTACACAGGTAATGTATAACATTTCCATGCCAAGTTTCAACTATAAAAATAATGAAATTAGGTGCTTTTGCCTACAAAACTCTCCATTAATGCTCATAAGAAATTGCATATACGTTTTTAGATATGGCGGCAGTTCTACCTTGATAGACCTCTTTCAGATTCTTGGATTACCATTTGAGGAAAAATATAATCAAAGCAAACTACAGGCAATGCTTTAAGCTACACTCATATAACTGCTATGGGTATATTACACGTACATGATCACTAGTTTATTTATTTCTCAACAGTTTGTCACATTGTGGGCTGCTCTATTCAGGACATACCAAAAAAGGGGGGGGGGAAGCATGCAGCTGGTTTTGAGGAGGTAACACTCCCCCCACCCAAAGTCTGGGATCTGCTCTTAGGGTTGGATGCTGCACTGCCTTGATCTCCCTCAGCCTGAAAGAAGGATATGGCTTTGGAACATTGAACCTTATCATTTCCACCATCTTTCTCCAGCTAAATCCTGGATTATGGGGAGACATTATAGATATGGTTTTGATATGGGTATTAGGAAGCAAAAGTTAATGGGGGGGAGCATTAAAATACCACCCCAACTCCACTGCAAAAATCTTCATATATGAATACTTCATTCAGACAGAGTCCCCAAAACTTGCAAATCAATTTCAGAAGCTGTTTGACTTTGAATTTTTGGCTCCCACTTAACTAAAAGGGAAAAGCCATCAGAATATGCTCTTTCATAGTTTCAAAAGCTTTTCTGCAGGCATCACTGCTCAACTTTTGGGGAAAAAATAGTATGGACATGAACATTTACTTACAAGCGAAAGAATTGGGAAATGAGAAGGAACATTTATTTATTTTAGTAAATAAAGTGATAACACACAAGTCTGATGGCAGGCATAAATCTCACCTTTAAAATCATTTTGGTTTGGAAGACTTCCATTCAGGAAGAACTAAAAACAAGGGAGAACTTCAGAGACATTCCTGTTCTAACATTCGAAGCCATATCCATCTGGATGACACCAGGGTGCTATCTCTACTCCAGTTAACAGTGGACTGTGATCTTTTCCCATTCTACTGCCAATTTGCACTGACTATTTTAACCATACTGAAATGGGTGCCAGCATGGTGTAATGGTAAAGTGCTGGACTAGGAGCAGGAAGACCCAGGTTCTAGTCCTTGCTTGGGCATGGAAGCTTGCTGGTTGATTTCGAGCCACTCCCTCCCTCCCAACCCTAATCAGAGTCAGACTCAGCAACAAGCTGGCTAATAAGCAAAACTCTTGTTGCGTCATGCACTGATAGCTTCACTGGAACTAGGCAAGGCAAAATACAAAAACAAGTGAACCCTGTGATCATGTGGGACTAACGCTAAGAACAACAACACTTTTATTCATACTGAAGTGGTCAGTATGGATTTTTAACTGTAGTTAAACCTAATTACATTCTAGCATAGTCAAAGTTCAACCAGCTTTAAATCCTAGTTTAAGGATCCTAAGTTCAGGAAGGCACAAGATCTGACACTGGAAGGAGAAGCAGGAGAGTGCATAATGTTCACACAACGAAGTTGACCCTGCGATTCACTTTCCCAGCCACTTACACTTCAAATGCCATTTCAGGATGCTTTTGTTACACCACAGCCAAGTTATGAAATCTGTTTGCTAAGAAAAATGAAAAAGAAAATCATCCAACAAACAATAATTTTTAAAATTCATTGGGAATCTAGCAGCAAGAATTCTCGTTCCATTGTAAAAATCCAGTCACTTGCTAGAAATGAAGTAAAATTCTGCCCAGCCAGTGGTTTCAGTGTTTGCGCCAATGGTAATCCACCGCTGTGAAGAAAGTACACACAACTGTCGTGATGAAGGTATGTGCTCCCTCGTAGAGGAGTTTTGGTGAAAAGACACTCCAGATAAAGAGATGGTATCGCAGTCCTGTGATCAGAATAATGTATACCCCAACTGGGATGGAACGTAACAGTGCATAGCAGAAGCAGCCATGCCCCATCGCTGCAGGATTCCTGTAGTTTTTTTTTGGGGGGGGGGGGGGAAGACAAAAAACACAATTAGTTCACATTTGATTTTTATATTCATTTTAAAAATAATTGGTCAAAAAGAGTCTCTGCAATAAACAAAACATGAAAACTTCCTGTGTTCCACTGTATCCTTGAAAAGCCAAGGTACAGCAACAAGCAGCAAGACAATGGGAGGTCTTTATTATTTCCATTGTCTCAGAAGACAGAAGTTTGTAAAGTAGCAAAATCTGACATCTCAGGATAAGGAAAGAACTCTACCCCAGCTGATTCCCTTTCCTTCAAGAGCTGGGCAGTAGTTAATGCTGTCGAATAAGGATGTGCCTGAGACAAATTTTGTCTCTCCCTAAAACTATGGAGACCTTATGCTGCATGAACCTCAAGGCCTATCTTATATGGTACAGGTAGTCCCCATTTATCAACCACAATTGGGACCGGCAACTCAGTTGTTAAGTGAAGCAGTCGCTAAGCGAAACTGCAACTGTGCTTTTGATCTTACTTCAGCTTTCCTTTGCTTTACAGACCTGCAAATGTGAAGAATATCAGAAGCCACTTCTTTATATCTTTATATGTTTCTCTTTTTTTAACTTTTTTTTCTTATTGCACTTTTAGCTTTTTCTTTTATTTCTCTTTCCTTTTCCTTTTCTATGTCCTATTTTAGTTTGAATTAGTTATTATTATTGCTGTTAAAACTTTCAATAAAAATTACAAAAAAAAAAGTGAGGAATTTCATCACCAGCGTAACTGTGAATGGTCGCTAAATGAGGCAGTTGCTAAACAAGGACTACCTGTAGTGTGTTCTTACAGAGGTCAAGGGGATTTTTCTAGGAAGATCAAAAGCATGGAATGACAACAGCAACCCTCTCCTGCTCTTATTTCCCAGAAACTGACATTCAGAGGCAACCTGTCTCTGAATTTGGAGGCACTATATATACAGATTGACAGGCCTAATGTCCTTGAATTTGGCTAATCACAAGGCAGTAAGAGATATCAATACATGCTGTGGTTCATCGATACTGCCAGTGTACATCAACCAATAAAAGAAAGATAGCTTAAATTGACCTTGATTCCTGGTGACTGCGTTCATAAAGGTTTCTTGGCAGTATTATGAAAGCAGTTTGCCACGACCTTCTTCCAAAATGTTTCCCCTGCCCCCCAATTTCTCAATCTTGCAAACAATCTTGGAATGCCAAGGCCATCTCCTATCTGAATAGTAACCTAGGCCAACCATGCTTAGTCACTATGATAGCCAAAGTCAGCTATGTGCTATGAGTAGTATTTTAAAATTAGATGGGGGATTTGTGGCCAAGCTTAACAAAGATGGGGGATCTTTCCTGACCAAGCTTAACAAAGCCATGCACTACACTGCCTCTGAAAACAACTGGTAGCACTGAAGAGGTGTAGTCAACACATACAACTCTGGCAAGTTTTTGTTCTGTTGCTTTTTTAAAAATACATTGTTTATTTCTTGTACACTGCTCAGACCAGTTTAGAATGCGATGGCATAGAAATCTTAATAGTAAATAATAAGTTTGGTTGATCTTCCAGTTGTCCTTATGGCAATACTAGATAAGGATTTACTTCTTAATTGCTCGATGCCTTTCCTAGTAGAAACAATAGACAGCCATGTATATTTGACAGGTGACCCCTCCCTCCAGTAGAGTGAAGCAAACTCTTCCCAATGTTTTTCACATGATCAGAGACTTTCTCTGATCAAGCTAATATGCAAAAGCATCACCATGACCTCTGAGAAGACTGACTGATTGGCCATCTCTGGGGGAAGTAATTATATCAAAAAGCAAACATATAGACTTTAGAATGTTCCCAAATTGGTTTTGAAAACTGTAAAGAAAATGTAAATGTCTAGAATGTGACACTTTATGGTAACACCCCTTTTGATTCACCCCTTTTTTTTTTTTTTTTAATCTACCTAGCTATTAGAATCAACAACGCTGTACTTCTCCAGTTTTTGTCTCAGCCTTCACTCTATTCAGGTTATGCTCCTCTGGTGCTCCTTCCGCTACTGTTTATTATACCAAACAAACCATCTTTAGGGATGGTGCAAGGCAAGTTAAGATTTATTAAGCCATTTTGATATTTGAACAAAAAGGCTACTGTGCATTTTCCTCATTTACCCAACCCCTTTAAATAAGCAGCACTGGAATTTAAACTTGAAGGGTATAGTGAATAGTGTTGTTCTACACACATCACCAGGGAGATCTCATGCAAGATTGCTGGGTAAGATTTTTAATTAAGATTCAAGGCCAAACTGGAAAAGTCCAAAAAGATCATAAAACCCTCAAGAGGGTTATGAGAGCAAAACCCCTCAGTATAATTGGCAAAGATACATTCACCCTATTTCATTAATGAAAGCTAAATCATCAAGATCTTGACCATCTGAGCTGGCACAAAGGTTTCACTATTCAGCTTCCACTGTTTGGCTGTCTGCTGGGCGCTGGTCTGCTGCCAACTGGCTCTTTGAGGGTGGAGAGCATATAAGCTATTTGTACTCTTCCTGCTCTCCCATCAATATACTCAAAATGAACAGTTAATAGAAACAATGACTTCAGCCCTTCAATTCCATACACATTTGCAGAGCCTGTCACCAATTACCAGCTGCAGAACACACTAGGAGGTCCATTCAGGCTGCTTTAGAATTAATATACGTGTCAACTAGCACAAAGGCACCTGAATATAGATGTGTGTCACAAACTAGGCAGAGGTAACCAGTGTGTGCAACAGGGCATGGTTTTATAGACAACTAACCTTAACAGTTATTTTTACTTTTCAAATTAGACCAGTTTTCTACTTCCCCACCTTTCATATCCAGAGGATAAGTTAGTGCTAGATGATAATAAGAAATACATTTTCAATACATTTTCTGGTTATTTAAAACATTTACTAACCACTTTTATAGCTATGACTCTAAAAAGCATACAGTATATGAAATGTATGCATTTTATTGTCTCAGCTCTCAGAATAAGAGTAAACATCTCCCTTCCAAATACCTGGTATGGGGTGGGGTGGGGAAAAAAATAAGAGTATCTGCTGCAATTTGATAACTGAAACCTTTTCAATACTTGTTCAAGTTTCCTCCCCTGTCAATTTTAGCCTACTGGTGAACCCAAGTTAGCTGATGAGGTCCTGCTCATGCTCATCTATATGAGAAGCACTGACACCATAATGAATAAATATTTTGTGATTCCATGGTAGTGGCTGCTATGGGACTGTGACACCACAGTTTCTGCATCCTGGCAGGACATACTTATGCAGACCTTGCAGCTAAAACTGGAATTGCAAACTGCACAGAGAACAGCTTATTAAATTTAACAAAAGCCTGGAGGAGGGGAAGAATGCTGCAGGTTTTGTAATGCAAAACAGAATTACAGGCACATAGGCAATCTTTCTGATGCACAGTAGGTGCCCAATAGGTCTGCAAAGATGAAATACCAAAGCGTTTGGTAAACCAAATTGTGTGTCACTAAGTATACAAGTCATGAGATTTAATAGGAAGCATATAAGCAGGAAAAAGTTGCTGTAGGCCTAAACTAAAAAATTATTTAATTCCAGGCAATAAAATGAAGAAGTCCAGCTCTGCTTTTTGGTCAGGTATTTTAAGGAAAAAGGGAGCCATTGTGATCTGCAGTAATTCAAGATGAAATCTTATTCTCTTGTTTTTGAAAGTAGAGAATAAAATTATTAGATATAGCTAGTGTAGTAGAGAGGCTGAACTGTGAACCAGAAAGCCTCCAAAACAGTATTTCTCCTATAGGCAACTCACTCACTTTGTGTAATATAGGGAACAGAATGACCAACACAAGGGGTTGTTGCAAGGCTCTCCAAGGTCTCTTCCACACATATAAATTGCACACATACAAATTGCACATACAAATTCAGGATCCCCACGTCCCCATGACATTACTGGTCCTGGGGAAATCTTCAGCAGCTGAATCTGAACTTGGAATTCAGCTGTTACTCCATTTGACTATATTTCAGTGTTTTGTCCAGAATTGTGGAATGGTGGATAATGTCCCATTAATGAGAACTTATCCTGGCCTGCCTCATCTTCCCCTTTGTTCCTACAGGCAAGGCCCTGTTCTCCTATCCTCCTGCCTGGTGAATCTGAGGAGCAGTTTTGCCCTTTCTTTTTCTTGTGATAAGACAACAACGAAGGTGGGGAGGACTTTTGCATGCTCCATTAGCCAGCTAGAGAGAGATGGAGGGAATGCTGGCTAAACTCTCAACATGGAGTGGCATGAGTACAACTCCAAGGGTTTGGAGATTTAAAATGCTGGTGGTGTGGAAGTGTCCTGAGATATGTATGGGTCCATTTCAATCTGGATTGTAGTCTGGATCTGAAAATAAATTGCCTTGGTTGCCATGAGGGATGACTCATTCCAAGCAAAAGGGGAAAGACAACCCTGTACATTCTGTAGGATTTTCCAATAGCATTCAAAATCATCCAGCTTTTGTACAGGAGTTATTATTTATTTAACCCTATTTCGAGGCCATCCGACTCCACAACAACCCTGGGCAGCTTACAATTAAAAGAGAATTTAAAAAGAGAACAACATATGTCAAAGAAAAGGAATACAACCACTGGAAGACCAACCCCATAATATGAAAAGACCAACAGAATACTCCAGACCAAAGGGGCTCCACCACCATCCTAACCCAAAGCCTGTGGGAACAATCAGGTTTTAACCATTTGCAAAAAAAAAAAAAAAAAAATCAGTAGGATGGAAGAAACATAGATCTCTGGGGGGGATATCATTCCAGAGTCAGAAGCTATCTCCAAGAAGGCACATTACCTGGGCCCCACAAGATGACATTTCTCAATCTGACCTCCAGAAAGTGGGAAACAATCAGCTGCTTCTCCTGGCACATTTTAACAGTTTGGGCCAACTTCCATAGGGAAACATGGTAGATAGCCTAGCACCACACCATAAATAGCTTTATAGGCTAACACCAGCACTTTACACTGCATCCAGAAGGCAACCAATGTAGAGCTTATGTTATACCTTACAGGTGTTGTGCTCCTCACAATAACTGCTGGTGAGCACCTGGGCCACTATATTCTGTATCAACTGAGGCTTCAGATGGTTTTTAAAGGCAGCCCCATGTGCGGCACAATGCAGTAGTCAAAATGGATGGCAATGAGGGCATGAATCACTGTTGCAAGGTCCTCTCATCCAAGGAAAGGCCACAATTGACACACCAGCTGAAGCTGGGCAAAGGCTTCCCTGGCCACAGCTTCCGCTTGTTACTCTAGCATAAGCCACAATCCAGATGGAGCTCCAAGTCATGGACCATTCTTGCAGGGGCAATGCCTCCCCATCCAGAGTAATCACTGAGGCTGAAAGAGAACCCTGATGTACATAGAAACTCCATCTTGCTTGAGTTCAATTTCAACCTCTCTCTCCCATCCAGCTCCTCACATGTAAATACCAAGTTACTGAGTGTAAAGTTTATTGGACAGAGTCTGGTCATGATCATCTCAGACCAGAAAATGAAACAGAAATTTATTGCCACTCGATGGCAGCAGTAACCAAACTGTTGCTAGACCAGGGCACTCTAGCTAGAGTTTTACCAGGAATTAGTAGTATCCTATCTTGCCTGCATTGAAACTATTGGCTTCTAGCAACTACTGGCTTCCAAAAAATCAGCTTCAACTCCAAGTGTGGGTTTCAACATTTAAAGCCTTTCAATGGCTTAGAGTCTACATATTAGTTGGACTACCTTTTCCAGCCTTAATCTGCCCATCAATCCAGGCCCTACACTGGAAGCTACCATCATATGATGTGCAATATGTGGCAACAATGGACAAGAATCCTGCAAAATTCCTATGGTGGCACTGCTTTATAGAACGTCTTCCCAGAAAGACTTGCCTGATGGCATCATTACCATCATTTAGGCATCAAGCACCACATTTATAGTGTCCCAGATTTTTCAGAACTGCTAACTTTTGAAAAACTTTATATTATGGAGTCAGAACTGCTTTCTTTGTTATTTGCCTCTTAAGGTTTTTTTTTTTAAATGTACCTTTAGAATCTTTATTGTTTCTGACTAGTTTGATAGCTACATGGGAAATATAAATTTATGCTGAAAGTGCATATATAAATTATGTAAATAACTTCACTTTCTAGTCAAATGGAAATCTCAGGGAATACAGAAAATCCTGCTGAATACAGTAAATCAGAAAAGGAGGTATAAGATTGCACTGCAGTTCTGCCATATACTGAAGAATATTATTTTCTTCAAATAAATTGAGCTAATACTGTACTATTTTAAGAACAAAGATATGATATAAACACTAAAAGTTATATATATATATAGACACATGCACACACACACACCCCTTTGGTTCCATCTTAGTAGAGACATCCCTGGTCTCGGACTAAAATAAAATCAATCTCTTTCTCTCTCTTGCCATAGCCAATTTTTATTTGGTTTATATGCACACCATTTTTCTTCCCCAAATAAAAGTACTTAAGGCAAAAGATGTTGATGAGAAAGCTTTGACATCAGCAATTGATATTATCAAACATAGATTCAACACTAAGTCCTTCATATTTGTATCTGTCTGAACTGAATGTAAAAAATTATAGCTGCTTCCCCTGCAGTAAGTCCACTCCCACTGCCTTCCGAGAGGAAAGGAGGCAAGGGAATAGAACAGCTAACTGGGTTCCAGAGCTTGAAGGAATCCCTGGCTACTTTTATACAGAGTTTTAAATATCCCCAAATCTCTTTTGTCGTCCAGTGAGTTCCCCTCCTCTGCCATAAGCTAGCTACTTGGGATGCTAAGATAGGGGCCTGAGTGAACATTTCAAGGAAGAGAATCAGTAGGCAAGAATATTCCCCTGCCAACCAATTTTCTCCTCCATGAATTCCCATTTCCTCAAATAATTTGTTTGTAAGAGCCTTTCCTGGACAGATTCTTTAAAAAAATCAATGGACAGAGTCTTCCTGTTTACTGCCAATTTTTCTCCCCAGACCACTGATTTATTATCTCATCCAAAACAAGGTTGAGACCAGGCACGTAACAACCCTTTTAAGGCATCTCTTACCTGGCTAGCTCATAGCAATGCAGCCTGTTAGCTCTCAGCATACAGAAATTATTAACATACAGGACTATTTATAAGCCATTTATAAGCCCCCACCCTATTAGCCTTTTGGAAGGTGGTGAAGACCTGTCTTTTCACCCAGGCTTTGGGCTAGGATAGACGCGAACCCTGCAAATATAAGAGCATCTATGTGATGTTGCGGTGCTGTGCTAGGAATACATGATGTTGCTGCGGGGTTGGTTAGTTTTATTTATTCTGCTTTTATTTAATATTATTGTGAGCCGCCTAGGCTTATCTTGCCTAAGAGAGGCAGCCATATAAATAACAAATAAATAAAATGATTGGCATAAAAGGTTTACCTGTCCACTTCAGAACTCAAATAACACAGCAAATGAATGGCCCACAGCAAAGGCCCCGAGTATGTTGCAAATGCCGTAAGGATAATGGCAGGGATTTCTACATAGTCATTTAGTCCAACAAAACCAGCTGAAACATCCACAGAAGCAATGCCGTTTGAATTACCCTGGAAAAGAAAGGGCATAGTGAATAAAAGAGAATTAACCAATATACTGTAGAGTTCAACAGCCCATCAAGGTACAAGCATCTATAACCATTTATGA